GTAGTCATTCGATTTGGATTTAGACCTGAACAGTAACAGTCCGTTTTCAACAAACCCTGTTTTACCTCCACCATGAGCTATTATTCATCTTGCACCGACGCCATAAGAAGCAAGAATACCAGGCTGTGCCTCCGATTGCTAACATTTTTGAAGGTGGTATGAAGCATGTACATACGTTTCGTCAACATATATGACCTGTCAATTTTCTTCCTATTCTTAGATAATATATATTAAATAATAGGATAGAGAAAATATATTCTTCTCAGAATATATTTTGCTGTCCAACCTGCAATACTATCATTGCGTTCTATCAATACTTGTCGTTTAAACTGGCACCTTTTGTATTTGTAGCCCATAGTCTTTAAACTATTCCTCAACGATGTTCTGCCATATTTAAAATCAATATCAGCTTTCAATTCCAATCAAAGTTTATTTGTGGCATAAATCTCTTTCTTCAAGACGTCAAACGATTGACTTAAATGCCTAAAATCGTCTAAACCATAAATTTTTATCCTCCGGTTCCTGGTTTTTCCAGGGGTCACAATTTTAGAAGATGAAGCTGCTGTTACATTATGTACTCTCAAGAGTTATTTAGGTGACGGTGCGTTCAGAAACGCCTAAAACATAGTAAAAACTATGCATTATAAATACATGATATTAATGACACGAGGAAACTAAAAACGAACATATCGAGAAAATTAAGTTTTTTTTTGTTATGGCAGCCCTAAAAATTACCTGTCAAATATGAAACGTGGGCTCTAACTTTGGAAAACGGTATCTAATGTAGGATCGTTATTGTCTCGTTCTTCATCACAAACACGTTTGACCTTCAAGATAATATCCCTGCCAGCAATTTTAATCACTTTCGGCATAATGATGACGCTTATTTACTGCAAAAACGAATAAAAACACGACCCCTAGTGTACAACTTTCCATTGACTCCCATCGAGTTTGGGGTTGATACGTATTTTTACAGAAAAGTTACACTATTATAAGCACACACACACAAAGTTACAATATGCGGAAGTGCGTAATTTTTGAGAAAAAAGTTATTGAAAATCAATTATTCTTGCATTGTTTATGTCTAATCCTACAATAAAACTGACGCCATTTTTTATTATTATTGTCAATAGGGATGTCGATTCTTTCCGAAAAATATCGATTTTTTAAATAGATTTGAATTGTAAGCTGATGTATCGATTCCCAAAAAATCGATTTCTAAAATATCTATATTTTTTTCATGTTTGCATTTATAATGTAAATATAAATCCATTTTATGAGAAAAAAGTCCCCTTCATCATAAAATATAGGGGGACTGATTCAGAAGGATTTCTGTATCTATTTTGAGACTGCTACGTCTCCGGCGCTGCGGGAAGAGCAGCCTCTACGCCTCAGCGTAACAAATCGCAGGCATCCCTTCTCGCCTCCGCAGCTTCGGCTTGTTGGTCGCCTTCGGCGACCAGCCTCGGCCGCTCCGGCTCGTCCTATGCCTACGAATTATTACAGCAGGCGGCGGCTACTCCTTTTACGCGCCTCCGGCTCTTTAAAACCACTCTAGGGGTAGGACAGACTCGTACCAAGTGGAGTCGGGGTCAATCAATTCGGTTCTTTGACATAAGTTGAAACTAACCTATTTTATTTGTTATCAGGCATGAGTCAAATACAAATAATCTTGCATGAACAATTAGGTGTAAAAAAGTTGTTTTCCCGATGGATACCGCATTCGCTCTGTGAAGAGCAAAAAGCGGCTCGCGTTACTTGGTGCGTCAGAACTCTCGAAAGATTCCACGCAGGATCCTCAAATGCTGTATACAACATCGTATCAGGTGACGAATCCTGGATATACGCGTACGAACCCGAAACAAAAAACCAGTCACGAGTTTGGGTGTTCGAAAATGAGTTAAAGCCAACAAAAATTGTTTGTTCACGGAGTGTTGCAAAAAAAAATGGTGGCCACGTTTGTCTCCAAAACCGGCCATGTTACGACTATTCCTCTTGAGTGACAAAGAACGGTTAATGCAGAATGGTATGCTAGCATTTGTTTGCCACATGTCGTTTCTGAACTCCGTAAAGAGAACTGCAACCGCCGCATCATCCTCCATCACGACAATGAGAGTTCTCACACCGCACACAGAACAAAAGAGTTTTTAGAGCAAGAAAAGATAGAATTATTAGACCATCCGCCGTACAGCCCCGACCTAAGCCCTAATGATTTCTATACTTTCGCTAAAATAAAGAATAAATTGCGTGGACACCTGAAGAAGCTGTGGACGCCTACAAAACGGCCATTTTGGAGACCCCAACTTCCGAATGGAATGGTTGCTTCAATGATTGGTTCCATCGTATGGAAAAATGTGTCAAATTTCGCGGAGAATACTTCGAAAAGCAATAAATATGTTTTTAAATAGTAATGTTGTGTAATTTCCTTGATTCTCGAAATTTTCAGTGCCGCCCTCGTATAAACAGAATCAATAGTTGCTTTGAGGTATCCTGATACCCCAAAGCAACTATTTCCTAAAATTTCCTTCCATATGAACAAAGAAATATAAAAATGCACTATAAATGTTTCAAACATCTTTATTGAAACAGTTTTTCATATCTTACTTATGAAGCTCCAAAGCTTCCGAAATTGTTATAGTAAAACGCAATTCACATTCAGCTCTATGTCTAAATAAAATTAAATTATGCTTATGTAAAATTGGACAGAAATAAATAGAGCATCGTTTCTCAAACTGGCACTAGCAAATTTTGTAGAGAAGAATTCATTAAAAATATAACATGTGTCACAATCGTTTTAATAAATTTTTAATTTTAGGTCGTAATTGAACGTTACATATTATTTTATGTAACAAATAAGCTAAAATATGATGGTACCAACGCAGTCGGTACAGTAACCAAAGCACAATGGGGAATGGCGTAAGGCGTAATTTTACTTATATTGGATCACGATATAAAATCATTTGAGAAACGAATTCATTTTATGCGTTCTATCCAACCAAAGGTACAAATTAAACTGATATCAAATCATAGGTTTTGTAACAAAATCTGGGCTTATTTAACTACCGCCGACAAAATGCTAAAACTAACGCGATATTTACAGTTTTAAATGCTTATATTATTCTAATATCGGCAGTTGCGTTGACGAAAAATAAAAAAGATAATGTCCAAGACAACATTACAGAAAATATCTAATAAAATGTTTCACATAAAATTCTTTAATAATCAATTAATTTTTAAACACTAATGGTAGCGTCTAAAAATTATGTAAATTCAAACACTTAATTTAATTACTGAAAACAATGGTCAAATATATGCAGACGTAGTACTATAAAATAGTCACAGAAACTTACAATTACCAGTCTTAAAATATCAAAGAAATATAAACAACACTATTTTATACATTATGTTGTTGCGCCACATTCCACTGCAACTAATGAACAGACACAACATCTACAAATTCTTATGGCATTATGTATCAAATTTGTATGTAAAAATAAAACTGTTACAATATCAGCTCTTCTCACATAATCATATAATTTCTAACCATGTAACTTGTTATGTTAACTTACAATTTCTTATAGAAGAATACATAATTTAAAAAACTTAATACAAACACCTAGCTGAGCGCAAGTAAAAATAAGCTAAGACATGTTTATTCTCAAACTAAGTATATGTCTGGTTTTTAATTTTCTCTAATAGTCCCAAAAAATAGAACAGTTAAACGGGATAATCTTTATATTTTTAATTTAGGATACACCCGTTTACAATTTTTTTTTCTATTTTATTATGGCCAGGAAAAATAGAACAAAGACACTATGAAATTAACTTTAAAACAGGATTAAATTTGCGTACCGGTAAAATTAAACGTTACTTATATACAGTAAGTTAAACTAGTAGTTCACAGACTATCCACCTGTGAACTTTGCAATGTCAAGAAATTAATCAGTCTAGTGTGTAGTGCGTGTATAATCTGTATGTGTGTGTATATCGATTTGATGTACATTCGTACGTCAAAGAAAGAAGGTTCGAAATAGAAATAAACATTTATGAATAAAAATTCTATGTAAACTGTTTTCCTTGTTTACTCAAGAAGTTTGTTTGGTTACAAGGTTTGTTTGCAAGGTTACATATTAATATATAATTAATTATTATACAATATTCTGTTATTACAACGCAACATCTGTTGCAAATGTAATTATTATTTTTTTCTTTATTTATTTTAGAACTCGCTTAGTTACATCCATTTGTCAGTTCCAAAAACCTCTTTTTTAACATGTTTCATATTAATTGTCCATAATTCTTTCAGACCCTGTGGGACATAAAGATTTTCAAGAGGAATCTAACTGACATCTATAAAACAACCATATATTAAATTAAAGTTAATTGCACCAATTTGCCATGCACAAATTTTATACACATTGGATTTTTATACAAAAAAGTATGTTGTGTTATTTGTAGGTGAATTACTTCTCCTTTGTAAGTAAAAGAAACATAAATTAAGCAACTAATGTATTTTTTTTTTATAGGAGTCCACCTGATGGTAAGTGGTTGCTGTGACCCATAGACATCTACATCTATCCTCAATAAAGAATCAAAATGCAGATGCGTTGTCACCCGTGAGGACCAAGATGGAATACATGCCCCTTTTTCAATAAAAAGGGTCTCCAGTTCTCTACACTCACCATACGTAACACAGCAGTGTCAAGCTGCTATTTTACGCTGGTATTCTGTGGGAGCGTGGTCCTTCCCCGGTCGAGCCGACCCATTCGTGCTACAACTATACTACTAATATAGCTACAGCATGGTTCTACCATGTACAGCATAATTTTGATTTTTTAATTTTCATTAGTATTCGGAGAAATATTTATTCAATGGCAGCAGTCTTAGAGTGAAAGTTATTGTTACACATTTTCAACATGGCAACCCTATTTGTACACAGACTCGATCCTCGTATTGTTTCAATTGCACACTTTATCGTCCGTGTATTGTTAGAACGTGGTTCACGTGTAATATTGTATGGTGTGCGCGCGTCGTGACGTCACGATGTTTGTGTTGCCACTCGACCCAGCGGCGCCGACGATCAAGTACCCGCCAGATGTCACCACTTTCTTAGCGTTCTCTTCGGTAGTCATAATCTGGGCGAAGTTTCGTAGTATTAGTTTCAGTACATTATTATTTGTTATTTTTATAACTTGGAAGTGACAAACAAAATCAAATAGTCTTCCAAGTGGATACTTCAGCCCACGGAGACATACTTACTATTAACTTCAAAGGAAGTTAGTTGTATGTCTCCGTGTGGGCTAAGCTTAATTTTGTAAGGTGCCAAATGTTTATTAGTGAACTAGAATGAAATAAATGAATAATAGTTAACATTACCGTGTAGTGGCGGTGTAAGAATATACACTACCCCATATCACCCCGTGTGTGTCGTAAAAGGCGACAAAAGGAAACAAATCAGGAGACGGGTTAACATCTTTCTGAAAACAGCAATAGTACAATAAAAGCCTACGGTTGCCAACTCGCTCGCATAGCGTGGCACCTATGGCAAACATTGATGAGTAACGACATAAATAAACGGCCCCCAGTCCCTGGCGGCCCCGCTATTAATGTTTACGGTGGCCGACCATGGTAACGGCGGAGCTAAATGGGGGTGCTAATAACGACTAAAACTAAAACACTGCGGTTGCCGACCAGCTTGCCATGCGTAGCAACTATAACAATAACCCATATGGGGCAATCTATGGGGGAGGCCTATGTTCAGCAATGGACTTTCAATAGGCTGCAACGCTAACGGTTAACATTATGGTACATAATTTTTTGTCATTTTCATTTTTCTTATTCCCTTAAACGATTTCCCAAAACCTCTGGTATGTGATGAATAGAATAGAATAATTTTTATTCAATACTAGCTGTTCCCGCGACCCGCGCTTGTTCGCCCGGCTGTAATTTAGGGTTTTAATTATGTTGTGGGGAACCCTAATTATTTTTCTAAAATATAAGCAGCCAAGTTATTCCTTATAACATCAGCTATCTGCCAGTGAATGTCCCGTCGACATCGGTCCAGCCGTTTCGGAGATTAGCCAGAACAAACAAAGAGACAGACAGACAAAAATTTAAGAAATTGAATTTTTGTTATAAGTACGAGGGTGGATTGAAAAGTACTCGGCCTAACCAAGAAAATAAACAAATACTAAATCAGTTATATTTTTATTTTTCTACATAATCACCATCAAGTTCAATACACTTTTGCCACCTCCCCTTCCAAGCATTTAGACCGTTGAAAAAAAATGATTCTTCCTTAGAGTCAAAATATGCGTCTACAGCTGCTTTGACCTCGTCGTTTGTCGAAAATCTTTGACCTCCCAAGTGCTTTTTTAGGTTAGGGAACAGAAAGAAGTCTGATGGTGCCAGATCAAGTGAATACGGCGGATGCGGTAACAGTTCAAAGCCACAGTTGTGAATTTCAGCCATTGACTGTACTGACGTGTGAACACGGGCGTTATCTTGATGAAACAGGACTTTTCTTCTGAGCATTCCTCGACGTTTTTCTTTTATTTCCTCTCGTAAACGACGTAGTAAGGTGCAGTAGTAATCAGAGTTTATATTTTGACCCCTTTCAAGATAATCAATCATAATCACACCTTTCGAGTCCCAGAATACTGAAGCCATCACCTTATTTGCCGACAAAATCGACTATAGCCTTTTTAGGGGGTGGTGAACCAGGTCTTCTCCACTGTTTTGATTGTTGTTTTGTTTCCGGTGTACAGTAATGAACCCATGTTTCGTCCATAGTAACAAAACGATTCAAAAAATCATCTGCATCGGCTTCAAATAACTCCAAACAGTCGCGTGAAATAGTCAATCGCGTCCTTTTTTGTTCAACTGAAAGCAGTCGCGGAACCCACCTCGCAGACACCTTGTGGAAACCCAACTCGTTGACAATGATGTTTTGAGTTCGTTCATAAGAGATGCCTATAATCTCGGCTATCTCTCTAATTTTTAATCTTCGGTCTCCCATTATTAAATCAAGTACTTTTTTAATATTTTTGTCAGTAGTTGACGTCGAAGGCCTTCCAGAGCGGGGTTCATCTTTCACACTCTCTCTACCACGCATAAATTCTGCTATCCATTTTTTGACGGATGAATATGACAGAGCACAATCGCCTAATGTACTGACCATGTCATCATGGATGGCTTTTGATGATAGCCCCTTCTTATGGAGGTACTTAATGACGGCACGCTGCTCGATTTGCTCCATTCGCGGAAATTATGTCCGATTACTTTGTTAATAAATTTATAAAATCACAACTAATTATCGCACACGTTTCGAACTTCACACAATGAACTAGTCTGAACTGAACTAAATAATGTGGTTAGATTTGATTTTTAGAATTGAATGGATCTGTGTTAGGCCGAGTACTTTTCAATCCACCCTCGTACTAAAGCTCTTATTTTGACATTACAAATAGATACTTCAATTTTATTTGTTTGTATAGATAGATTAAAGTACATAATACTCATTGGAGTATTTTTTTTACTTTTCCCAACGGTTCGCAAAAACCTCTGTCCTGGGAAGAACCAGTAAAAAAACACAGCGGGACTTTTTTTTAAAAGCACAATTTACAATATAATATTTTATACAATTAGATGAGATGACTATCTCGTGCAATCACTACTACACGATAATAAAATGATAGTTGAGTAATTTAATAATTTAAAATTAAATATTTTGTACTGCCGACTTCATTATAAGTTATTAAGAATGACTCAAAAACTATTGGTCTGACCTTGATCAAATTCATATGGGACCACACGAGAAGTACCAGGTTTCAGATAAAAAAAGAATCATCGAAATCGGTTCAACAAGTAAAAAGTTATGAGGCAGAAAAAGACCTGTGTCAAACATACTTGCTTATTAATGTTGAGAGGCGACAGTTGCGGCGGCCCCGGCGGCTTGTACGTACCGACGCACTTCATAGTTTGGTTACCGCTAGAATCCTCCACCATGCTCACTAAAATCCAAAATTTAATTCAAGTAAATCCAAGCTTAGATTTTGACACACATCTATACAAATAAAAATGCAAATGATCGTTTGTTCACAATATTAAATCTAAGAAAGTTCTTCACCAATTGCTTTGAAATTTTAAGACAATGTTGCATTCGAATACGCGTGTTTTTACATAATTTAAAAAAAAAACTTTGAGCCAAGTAAAGTAAAGTTTTGAGTAAAGTAACAGCATGTTATAACCAACAGCAGGACTACGTCCTTATCTCATTATTGAGAAGGTAACAGAACATGTAGTGGCGGTTAAGAATATCCACTACCTCATATCATTCCGTGGGTATCGTAAGAGGCGACAGAGGGAAACGGGCAGGAGATGGGCAGCAGCATCTTTCTGATACGGTTGCCATCTCGCTCGCCAAGCGTAGCACCTATGGCAAACATCTCCTCATTAGTAACGACATAAACGGTCCCCAGTTCCTGGCGGCCCCGCTGTTAATGTCTACGGCGGCGACCATGGTAACGGCGGGGCAGGGGGTGCTCTAAGAATCTCCAGTGGAGGTTCGGTTCCCACCTAAGACGACTCGACCTAGCAACATTTAACGCACGCACCCTGTGGACTGACGAAAAATTTCCCGGAGCTGGAAGAAAAGATAGACAAGTTGCGTTGGGATATTATAGGATTATCTGAGGTCCGAAAAGAGGGGTAGGGCACGGTAATCGTCCTGGAGGATTTATCGTCCACAAGTCTCTCGTTAACAACGTTGTAAAGATTGGGAGTGTGTCAACGAGGGTTGCGTACCTTATACTCAGAAAAACCAAACGTCATTCATTTAAGGTACAGGTTTACGCATCAACCTTATCACATCACAATGAGGAGGTGGAGCAAATGTATGAGGATATCTCTAGAGCCTGAATAATTTGTGAGTAATTTTATTAATAAGTGTTTATGGTTGTAATTTTTCCCTTAGTGCAGTATGAGAAAATCATTTTTCTTGAAAATACTTGCTGCGAAAATTTTGTTTGGAAACGTATTATGCTCTTATTTACTATTTTCAACCATTTTTACATCAATATTTTGTGAAAATCTGCCACAGCATCCACTTATCATCAGGTTCTTGTTTGTCACCCTAACCATTATTTTTCATACGATAAGAATATTTAGCTACGGAACACTAAAAATTAAAATAATGTTACAAAGTTGAATAAGGTTACATGAAAGGCATACCTTTATCAGTTATTTATCGATAGTCAATCTTTACAAAAGTGAGGTTAGAATTAGCACGATATCACGCATTTGTAATTATTTCAAATTCAATACCTTTGAATTTAGATTATTAATATTATAAAATGTGATAACTTTTCCCATCTATTTATATACCTAATTCTTTGTAACCACTATAAAACACAGCATTTAGATAGCTAAACATTTCAATCGTACCTTCGGGTTAAATGTATAATAATGAGATAAAAACACAAATTTTTATTTTAAAACGAGATTTTGTAAAAATATAAGCAGGTTTTGTTTTGTTCACGAATCAGGGCCATACAGCCCAGCCTTAAAAGTGCAAGACAGTCAGAATCAGGTTGTGTGAGGCATTTTCTCCTTAAGGATGATAACACATCCGTCTCCTTTATATGTTGCAGGTGTTCACGGACTCCAACAGCAATTTACCACCACAGACCAGTGAACTGTTTGATATAACATCACAATATATTATTAAAAAGATTTTTTTTAATAGGATAAGGGTGACAAACGAGCACACAGTACATCTGATGGTAAGTGGTTGCTGTGGCCCATAGACATCTACATCTATCTTCGATTAAGAATCAAAATGCAGATGCGTTGTCACCCATGAGTACTAAGATGGAATGCCTCGTTTCCAGTAAAATGGGTCTCCGGTTCTCTACACTCACCATACGAAACACAGCAGCGTTAAGCTACTATTTTACGCTGGTATTCATATATATAGGTATTCAGATATACTTATTTTCTTCAAAATGTAAATAACATTATGAGAAATCTTTTTCTTTATAATGCTAATATGATAACAGAACAAAAATATTTTACCTATAATAGAGGACTTCGGCCCATTGCCCTGATCCTGCGAGAAAACGCGCAACGGGGCCAGCTTGTTGCCGACCGTGAGATTCGGCGCTTGCGTGGTTTTCTGTAACACCAGAATGCATAATATACCATAAAAATTAGGAGTAAATATATGCCTAAGAATTTCCTTTAAAATGTATATTTAATTAATTATATACAGTTTAACGTTAAACTACGAGCTGTTCTTACTACAAATTAATGCATACGTCAATTGTTACAAATATAATATTTAAAAGTAGTCTACCGGTATGTCTTTCTGTATGTTCAGGCTAATCTCCGAAAAGGCTGGACCGATTTTGATGGGAATTTCACTCGCAGATTGCTGATATTATAAGGAGGAATTTAGGATACTTTTATATTAGAAAAATAATAAAGGTTCCGCGCAACAAAATTAAAACCCATGAAATCTAAGCGTAATAAATTCCATGCGGAGGAAATTGCAGGGAACAGCTAGTATTTAATAAATAAACTGTTACATTAATGTTCAGAGCTCATAATCAATTCCGAAGTAATAGAAACAATTCGGTACTTGATGTTATATCATGGTAGCCAGCTATAGCAAAAATGGTTTGACTCTGTAGAGGAAGGATCACCTAAGACAGAATTCCAGAACATACCAGAATAACTCTGCTGGTTCTTAGGGCGAGACATTCCATCTTAGACCTCAGGTGTGACAACGCATCTGCATTTTAATTACTAATTGAGCATAGACGTAGGTGTCTATGGCGCACAACATCCACTTAGCATCAGGTTGGACTATGTACTCATTTGTCTCCCTTACGTCTATAATATAATTTAAAATTAAAAAAAAATTACAGCCAACTTCAATATAAATTATTAAGAATAACTCAAAAACTATTGGTCACACCTTAATCAAACTTATATGGGACCACACGAGAAGCACCAGCTTTCAAATAAAAAAAAAGAATCATCGAAATTGGTTCACTGAGAGAGAAAGTAACACACATAAAAAAAAGAAAAAACATACAGTTAAATTGAGTACACCATCTCCTTTTTGAAGAAGTAGAAAATTGACACCACTATTAATAAATTACTACATCATATATTTTGGATTTGCTTTATTTATTAGTCTCTTTTTTGTTTCTTTGTTTTGGTTAATAATAATAATAATAATTTATTTGCAAGAAACAGGGCACTTACAGAAATAATGATTATATAAATTAAAATTATTTTTTTATTTATTAAAACACACAAAATATGAAAATTATGTCGAGTCGTCATTCATTATGGCCTAGCAACCCGGGACAGCCATTCGGGCCCCATTCTATTTACTAGGCCGAGTGTCCACGCTCCCGCTTCTCCGCGCTGTCTCGCTCGCTCACTCGGTGAATCTGAACACCGGCAGTTCGGTCACTCGGCAACCACTCGACACTCGGTCGGTACACGTCATTTTTTCCCGCGAATTTTGCTCTTATGTATTTTAGTTGGAATTCAAATGTGAAAAAATGTCTGTGAAATGTGATTTTGATTCCACAGTAAAATTTATACAACTGTATAAATTGCATCCCTGTTTATGGGATTTCTCGTAGAGGAATTATAATAACAAGCAAAAACGTGATGCAGCCAGGCCTCCGTCACTCGCTCAAGGCCCTGCGTTATATGCCTACCGTTCTGCGATCGTGGGCGATACGATACAACACACAACCGAAATTGGGCTGCCGCACGCCCGCCCGAGCGCTTGCGCCGCGCACGTTTCCCGCGCTTACTCGTCGAAATGCCGAAACCACGTAATTATTGTGCAGTGGATGGGTGTCAGAGTCAAAAAATAATTCTTAAATAATTTTGACAACGCCATAATGAATCGGCCTGGCAGCAGCGTGTTACACATTTTACGAACCATTGATTTTCCTCATGATTATTTATTAAAATTATTTACGTGATTTAGGATATTTTCAACGATAAGATTTAATAACCGAGAATTCAGAGAAGGAAAAAAATGTATAAATTATTTTATAAAACTCAAACATATTTGATTGATAAAAAATATGGTTATTTCGCAAGATTAGTTTTATTACAATAATCATCATAGGTACAACCCTAGAATATTCGTGCGATGACGCGCTTGCGCGCGAGAACTCTTTATGCGTGTACTTATGATACATTTTCTTCTCGCTGCGAACAGCAGATATTATTATTAAGATTTTGTAGGCTATTATAGCATAGGTATTTTCGCTGTTGTATGGGAGTGATGTATCTGTTTCGTAAACTATTTCGTAATCTGTGATGCAGCTTATATATCGATCATCGAAGAAATGAATATTTCTGGTTCTCCAAATGCGAGATTTCTCGTTTGCCAACATTCTGTCAGTTCTTCTGCCAGAAAATGTATAAGCAACTTGATTGATTTTTTTATAAATTTTTTTTCGATACGTCGCGTCTGTACTTTCCGGTAAACTGAACTGACAGACTGTCTCGCCGAAACTTCAAAAATACGTGTGAACAGCTACTCGGTTGCATCACTGTCTCGACCAAGAAGGATTTTACTGTCCCGCCACTCTACTCGGTAGGTGTAATCAGGCTATTAGTGTGCCTATGCATATGCCTATGCATTTCGGGATGTAATGGATCACGCGATTTACGAATATCATACATGATGGCAACATTTGACATGATTTTTGATCGATTGCTAAGTTGAGAAAAATGTAAAATTTGAATAAATTACGGTTATATAATTCATATTTTTACTTACTGGCAGATTATCTGGCGGTTGCATTGTGTTGTCGTGCGGCGGCCCTCCATTGCTATTACTGTCCTGTAATTTTAATTGAACAGATATGGATTAAAGTTGAAATTTTGTCATAAATAAGCTATATAGCTATAAAAGCTATAAAAAAAAAATTATAACACTCTCTAGCAGAAAGGGCTTAGAGAAAAAAGTTTAAATTTATATCTTATGGGTCGCTAAGTTAACAGGATCATAGACATATATGTTATAATATTATAAAGCGATTACACAAACCCTGTAATCCGGTGTACGTTTCGTGTTGCGTACTAGTTTCGAGGATAATTACATAAAAATAAACTTTCACGCCTGTCACCAAGTGTTAGGCAGAGATTACAGATTTCCATTTAGCACTATCCTGACGTACCTCTCTTTCACATCCACATGCTCATCCGAATAGAACAGTATTAATTTGGCCCATCTTCAACACATCGCCAAGGATAATCAATTGTAATATTTATAAAATTAGCTCAAATGTCTTTCAACATTTGTGAAAATATTACATGTGTGTAAGTAATAGTTTGTGAGCGTAGGCTCTTTGTGAATATAAATATACTAACTGACCTGTGCCCACTTCGCTGAGCGTCAAACATTTTTACTTGTGGTGAAATTATCTTGTGTGTTTCTTAGTACTGAGTGTAGGATTTGATTTCGTAATTGATTGACAAATACAGTGTAAACTCCAAGTAACGTCACTCGATTTAACGACATACTCCCTAAGGCGTCTAAATCACTCGGCTTTGGTTGGTTTAGCTTGTATTCCATACAATGATACACTGTATATAGCATTACACCCACTCTCAATAACGATAACAATTAAATAATAAAACGTACCTTTTAAGTTGCAAAAATTAGTAAGAACTGCGCAACTGTGTACGTTCTTTTGTTCTGTTGTCGCTTTATTATCCCAGCCCTTAATAAACTGGACTGTCGGCATCATACATACCAAACTCTCTAAGAAATCCGTCGTTTTGTTTACAAATTGAGATTGCTTGCACGTGCAGACTGTTGTTAGTAGGAGCAACAGATTATTATCTGTACGTTATCACATTCTTAATTACTCACAGACTTTCAAACTGTAAACATGGCAAGTAAGAGAAAATCAATAGAGGCGGGAGAGAAGATAAGAGATGTTGGTAGACGCTTTGGATTCAGTCGCTCTACCGTGTCCACAATATGGAAAAATAAAGAAAAAATCCTTCGTTCCATTTAACGACAACTCGTTATAACCTCAAAATATGCACATTCCCCTGAGTGTCGTTATTCAGAGTTTATACTGTATTGTTATTTCACATTAAAAATATTAATCACAATCAAATATAGCCTATGTCACTTAGGTATAATGTAGCTTTCTACAGGTGAAAGACTTTTTAAAATCGGTTCAGTTGTTCCAGAGATTACTTTCTACAAACAAACTCACAAACTTTACCTCTTTATAATATTCATATAGATATAGCAAATGCAAGTATCTCATGATCAATACCGGTTTCCTTTGCTGAGTGCAGACAGAGAAGTGCTGCGACCAGTGCGCTCGCTGACATTGATAGTCACAGTACGACGTGTTCCAACAGCAGTAGAACTGCGCTTCTTGACTGCAGTGTGCACACCTGGAAAAAAAATTATACATTTTTCACGTGGCCCACGAATCACAATGTGTCGGGCCCGATCGGGGAAGGATCAAGCTAGCACTGATACCAGCGTGAAACAGCAGCATAATACAAATAAATCTAATTAATAGAATCAGGCGTTACTTTGCGGAAGTCCATTATATTAAAGTTGGTAAAAAATTACTTCCCGTACATCCACTCGATAAAATAAAATGATGTGTCTTACCTAGTTTGAAGAGCACCTCCCGCCCTCCCTCAATTGCGTGCACTACTGCACTATCACCGTCACCACTAATCCCAGCACCACTACTCCCAACAGTACTACATTAGGAAAGACACACCACCAACGACAATACGACACGTGTCGGTTTCGCCTCTAGAGGCAATTGACTTGCACGCAATTGAGGGAGGGCGGGAGGTGCTCTTCAAACTAGGTAAGACACATCATTTTATTTTGTCGAGCGGATGTACTCCAAGTAATTTTTTACCAACTTTAACAAATGAATCTAACAAAAAATTAAAAAAAAATTATTAATGAAATTTTGTTTAAAGGACTTTTTATCTTAAAAAAAATATTAAAAAACCTTCGAAACAAAAAGAGCTGGTGATCTTCAAACGGCTGAACAGATTTTCTTGAAATGTAACTATTAACAACGCTCTCGATTAAGACGACTTTGAAACGAAAAAAACTTAATCAAAATAGGTTCATCAGTTAGGAGCTATGATGCACAGAGAGGCATACAGATACACACTACAAACAAATAACACCCCTCTGTTTTCGTCGTGAAAAATAGGTCAATATATTGAGGACAATAATGTGTGACAATTACTCTTAATCTACACATGCAAGTCCCCTGCCTACTGATATATTGTTAGAATTAACATTTTAAAAGGTATTAATATACCGACTTTTGACGATTGTATACAGACTTCAATATAATTTATTAAGAATTACTCAAAAACTAGGTCAGACCTTGATTAAATTTATATGGGACCACATGAGAAGCACCAGCTTTCAAATAAAAAAAGAACATTCGAAATCGCTTCACCAAAAAAAAAGTTATGAGATAACACATAAAAAAATACATACACTCGAATTGAGAACCTCCGTCTTTTTGAAGTCGGATAAAAAAATACATACCATTGCTTAGATTTGGTCAGTTTTACGGCGGCTTCCAGCTCCACTTGCGAGGCGCGCCTGACGTCGTTCACGGCCCGGATCTTTTCTTTTTCAAATGATGCTCTCATTTCCGCTAGCACAAGTTCTGCAAGAACAATAGCCCATTAACAGAAAGAAAACAGTTTGATTGGCGATGGCGTAACCTTCCATCCATACTATACTACACTTCCATAATTATACGTTTTACAACAATAACAATACCAAGGATTAAAATCCCCAATCCCATATTGATCTGGCATTTAAAAGTCCAATATTTATTTGGAACTTATAACACACAAGTGGTAAAATTAAAAAATTTGTACAACCGACTTCAATATAAATTATTAAGGATAATTCAAAAACTACTGATCAGACCTTCATCAAATTTATATGGGCTATGGGATATGCAATGGGCTAGCCACTTATCAGCTTATCACTACTTTCACAATTTTTCCATCTAAACCCATTTTACGCCAAACATAAGAGGAGCTCGCTTCTCTTTGGAATCTGTCTTCCCCCTCCGGAATTACGAGCCTGATGTTATGTATGTACCTATTGAAAGCCAAAGTGGGTGATTTATCTCACTTAGTGGTCCGAGAAAGAGACGAGACCATGACTTCTCTTGGACTATGTTATTCACCATGGTTGTGTTTGATCTCCTCAATCTCCTGCTGGTGGCGCCACTTGGCCTGCTCGAGCTGTAACTTGAACGCCGTCGCCTGCGCCACGGGCTCATCTATTTTCTCCAGCGAGTCTTCTAGCAGCGTACGGAAGAAATCGGTAAGCTGCAATTTAAAGAAATCCCTAGTTAATTTACATACAATGCTGAGTTTAGTGTTACTAACCTATTGATTACTTATTCAATCTATTTATTACGTCTAACTAACAGTGACCTCACGTGAGTCACCTCTCATTTCTTTTTGGAGGATTGTGAATCAATTAGTCTACCGTGCGACTTCATATGTATCCTCAAACATGCAGAATTCCTTAATATGTTTTCTTTTACGATTTTGTAAGTTAGCAGTGAAGATTGCAATTATCAACTTCATTGGTGTTGGTAGGGATCGCATACCGTTTAATCGCGAACTATCATCTTTCTCATAGTGTGTACCATCAACTTCAAGCAAATAAGTTTACCATTACATTATCACGACTAAAATTCTATCAACTTTTTCAATATAACACTGATGTGACAAATAAACTTGCAGCCCGAAGTTGAACAAGAAAGATTCAAACTTCTCGATAAATTCAATTAAATATAGATTACAATAGGACTTTACCTTGACAGCGTTTTGGTTGAGTTTGGCGGTGAGAGGGCCAGAGGTGGATGGCGGCGGTACGCAACCAATTGGCGTACTCGCGTCTAATGGGTTTAGTAATGTTGGTCGCTGTTGAAGGCGGGGAAGCTAGTGGAATAAGAACAGAAATATTCGTTAACATTATTATTGACCTTTACCAGTTCAAACATTTGATTAGGATTTAAAAAAATGCGATGCAAATGCAATGGAATAAAATAAAGTAACAGAAGCCAAATGTTTTTTTTTTATATAATGTTTAAGTTAAAAAGTTACAGCCTATATGCATCCCACTAATAGGCACAGGCCTCCTCTATTTCTGAGAGGGTTTTAGTGTCCGCCGCGCTGCCCCAATGCGTGTTGGCGAACTTCACATGTCTTCGAAATATATTTTTTTCTTATTTCTCAGAGATGCAGGTTTCCTCACGATGTTGTCTTTCATCGCCGAGCACGTGGTAAAGCAGCACTTAAAATTACAATTAACAATTTCATCGGTGCCGGCGGGGATCGAACCCGGGTTGCTCGCGTACTGTGAAGTGTGAAACTTACAGTGAGCGCTAATCATCTAAGCTACCACGGCTATATAATGTTTACTATAGTATATTGGTTTTGGTATAGAATAGAATGGTTCTCAAGCGGTAAACATCACACCGGTAAGCAAAGTATAGGGCATCCGTTCACTAGATGGAGTGAAGACCTGGTATGAAATGCAGAATGTCTATGGATGTAGGTGGCTCCAGAACATTCTTTTTGGCATTTCTTGGGTGAGGCCTATGTTCAGCAGCGATCTTGTGAAGGACTGGAATGATGATAATGATGATGACCTAAGTAATTAGCACGAAAGAACATTATGCACTTTGTTTGCATTGTCAGTTTTATCAATGTATACTGCTGGTTTCCAAGAAATATTTAATTTAATAGTAACTAACTTCGTCTGTCAATCACCTGGGTCAGGTCATCACCGTTTATTATCATACTGGAAAAAGTTGACATGTACCACTTACTTTATGTGACCCTTTTTCATATTCTCTTAAAACAAATAATATCGGAAGTTATCCAACACACAAGGTAACTACCCGTACGGTTAAAGGATGAGATTGAAAATGGCGTCGCCTCTATTCATCTCTATCTTGCACACTGTCGCTATCTATACTCACAACCGACGGTAAAGTCGGCAAAAAAATACGTGCGATTTGCGTTTATCGTACGTTCTATATAACTTCAGTCCAACTTGTCATTGAACCAATGATAGCAATTGTTTTGGCTGGAGTTAAGGTCTAGAAGACGCGGCGGAGTAGACAAGAGACGAGTATTTAGCCAATATCTTATGTTATACTAGCATTTGCATATAGTACTTAGTTTCGACTGGGGTTAAAACTCGGCATCAATAACATAATAAACACTGTTACGGTTACCAATAAACATTGACAATAACAATATCCTGTAGTAAATTCATATTTAAAGTAATAAAACAAAAAAAAAATACCTCAGCTGGAGTGTTCCCTGTCGAGGTAGAGGTGGGCACAGGTGTGGAGGAAGATGACGCGGCGGGCGCGGAAGAGGGAGCGGAAGTTGAAGCTGAAGCGGGCGCGTTTAGCGGCGACGAGGCGAGCGCAGAAAGTTTCGCTGCGGCAGTGGGCAGTGGCACCAGCGCGCCGGTATTGCCACGTTCCGCTATCCCATTTACCATCGGAGTGGATGAGTCCTGTAGAAAAATATAAGCCTAATAAATCAACTGGACAATATTCACTGCACATTAGACACTGATGTTATATTCCTAATGGTGATGACGGTATAAAAGGATTCATCAGCGTTTCATTCCACAGCATTGTTCTATGGAAGTCATTAGAGTTGCAAATAAGAAAGATAAGAAGAATATGTGGTGTCCAATAGTATAACGATTATATTATATGCTAGATATAAAAATCCAAAACCAGCGACGGGGAGCAGCGTCAAACTTATATAACCTTCTCCTCAAGCACCCATACACTTTACACCTGTACCTTTATGTTCAAAACCACACCTTTTATTGATTTCAACAAAATTACAGTTCATTTTGTAATTTATTTATAATAATAATACTAAATTCTATTGAGAATATATTTCATTCAATTTTATTTATGATATTACTATAATATGTCTACAGGGTTACTTTGCAACAACTGGATAAATTTGCAGAGAGGGTTCAGAATAAATAATATAGGCAAATGGTGAAGAAAAATTAATTTTAAAAATCTCAAAAATTCTGTCCTATTTATCTTTTAAATTCAAAATGTGTGGTAACACATTATTTTAACTGATTGTCATTCATAAATATCTATTTAACTACGCACGCACACATTCTTAGGGACGATCACACACAGAGAAGCGCACGTACGCATAGTTGTTGCCCATAAATCATATTCAATTTGGGATAATTACAAATAAAAGTAGAAACTATATTTACTCGTATTTTCAAAAACTGCAATAACGGTATATAATTTTTTATATATTAAAACTTATGTTAAAGATTTGGCTACTCTTTGAAAAATAACCCTGTATATATTTTTATAAGTATTTATGTATCCCATACAGATGAAAAAACAACAGAAATACCCCATAACAACAATAGTACATTTACTTCAGCTTTAAAAACCACAAACTGCTTTCTAAGCATTATATACTAAACTATGTCTCAAAGCATATACCTCACAAAGGCGTAACAATTTTCTGAGACAGAGCACTGACAGACAGGGCAAGCAACATATTATCATCTGCGTAACTTAAATTGTTTAAGCTTACTCCATCTACATTTATAATTCCATATACATACACCTCAACTCGGTCAATCTTCATTATTCACTAATTTATTGAAGGTCACGAGATCGTACTATTTTTCGTGTCCTTTTAACAAGATATACACAAAAAGATGGATTTATATTAGATTTTAACATAGGTACGGTTACGCGCAATTCGATAATGGTTTTCAGTTTTTAATTATTTTATATTAGAGTTTAAATCTGCAGAAAAGGCATAGGATCCTAAGGGCATGCCAAGTTTCGTAAGTACTTAGTTTAAATCCAACCAAATATAGGACATACATATTTAAAAAAATATTCGTATATTTCTTTAATTTTTTTTTTATAGAATAAGGATGACAAACGAGCACACAGTAAACGTGATGGTAAGTACATACTGTGGCCCATAGACATCTACATTTATCCTCGATTGAGAGTCAGAATGTAGATGCGTTGTCACCCCGAGGACTTAGATGGAATGCTACGTAATCAGTTAAAGCGTCTAAATATAATATATAATAAAATATGCAAAAATACAAAAGAAACACTAATTAAAATGTAACATTAAACTATACGTACATCCCCTCCTCCAACAGACATGACAGGCTGCAAACTGAAAGTCCACTGGCCATTTACAGAGGTTATGAGCGGCACCGTATGCACATTTGTGGGCCCGACTGTGGGCACCTGCCCAATCGTTGGCAAGGTCGCTGCGGCGTTGCTCGTGATGGTTGCTAAAGGACCAGTGTTTAATAGCGAGGATGATTTCGTGTGCGGTACCAATGGAGCTGTCACGGTGTTTATGCTGCTAGCTGTGAAAGTATTTTTTTAATATTTCAGCATTTTTACTTCTTGATAAGTATTATCAATCAAACAAATGTATTAAAAAACACATAACAGTACGGGGGTGTCCAAAAAGTTATATGGCTAGCAAAGTTTAACTAGTTTTGTTTTAGATTGTTACAGATTGTTAATAAAGCAAAACTTAAACAAAAACGATTTAAAATTATGAATATAAGAAAACACATAACACTAAGTGATAACTAACCTGAAGTTGTTACAAGTGGCGTAGGCACCCTTGGGTTTGACGCAGCGTTTACGGGTCCATTAACAGCGATCGGCCTCACTCCTCTTATTGGCGCTTGTGTCATAGGTGGTTGAATTGGAATATACACCATTGAATTTTTACCATTCAACTCAGATCTGCCATCGTCAACTTTTTTAGGCTGCGGGAATGTCTTCTTGGCTCGGACACGGATTTCGGTTGTCTTAGTTGTAGCTTTACGAGCATTTAGCGGTGAGACAACGACTTTATTTATTCGTACGTCGCGCAAGCTATTTGTAACGGTCGGGTTAACTGGAAGGAGTCTGCACGCTTTCATCAGATCCATCTTCTCGTTGTGTCGGTCCGCGTCATCTAAGTCTATAGGTTCAGTCTTTATTTCTACTTGCATCATCTCTTTTTCCTTTGGTACACTATCTGGTGACGTCATTCGCGCGAACGCTCTTACACCCACTCGACCCACTAACGGTGGCTCAGTTTCGTTCCTCAGCCTTTGTAATTTATCGACCGCCTCTTTCATATTGCGAACGTTATCTGTACTAGTTGGCGTGAAAATGCTTGAATCTGAGGGTGCTTCAATCGTGATTTCCACTGTTTTTGAGTTGGATGGTTTAGGAGAGCTCTCATTGTTAGGTGTTGTAGAGAGACTCCGAACACTGCTTATAGTTGGTAGACCTGACATGCTGTTACCGATACTATTTTTAGCTTCACGAGCCAGCACTGCTAGACTTGTGTCATCGTCAAATTGTAATCGGTCTTTAGCTGATTTTTGTTTTTCAGCATTTGATTTGGTTGAAGATGTGCTCTTCTTAGGTACATTCTTATCAGTCTCAGGTTCCTTAGTTTTATTTAATGTATTATTTTCTTTTGCTTTCTCTTTTCCATTATTAGAACTATTTGCACTCTTTTCATTCTTTTTGTCAATATTTTTTTCAGATTTTTCACCAATATAACAACCTAAAGATTTAGTTCTTGTATTCCTACGCTTCAGCGCTTTTTTCTCCTCTTCTGAAGAAATCGACTTATCTGGTCTAGATGGTCTTTGTTTCAGAGTTGATAAACCGCTCGACGTGTTTTTATCTTTAACATCTTTATCTTTTGGTGTGCTTGTCTTGCTCGGTTTTAGTTTAGAAACTACTTTGATAGGAGTAGTGCGTCTTGACTTCTCCTTATCGTTAGTACTGCTAGATGGCTCATTATCTTTGGATTTTCCAGTTTCTACTTTATCTTTTTCCTTATCAACTTGCTCTACAGTATTTTTTATAGGTACTTTATTCTTTTCTTTTGGCTCTTCATCATTCTTATCAGGCTCATCTTTATCATGGTCATCAAAACGCTTACGTTTTTCAATTGTTCCATTGCTGCTACTGTCTATTATAGTTATCACAGCTTCCTCTAGATCTGAACGTCGTCTCTTTCTTGATACATCACTTTTTTGTACATCCACTTCCATATTATCTACACTTTTGTTCCTGTAAAATTATATTACGATTATTAATTTATTTTTATCATACAATTATACTGGCTTTCTATGCCTTAAGACTGGAACAGAAGTACAGCCATTGCTGTTTGACGACAGAAATAGGTAAGAGAGTGGTACCTTACACAAACGGAGACCGCTAGACAGAAAACGAGTCCTAGTATCTACTTTGAATATTTTATCTCTGTATAGTATTAAAATTAAAAAATACGTAATATCGTATAATTTAGAACTACGCCCACCTCCCGTGTACTTTCGTAGATGTTACCTCCCCTTTTCCATATTAAATATTATAAAATCTAAATCAGCGATCCTTTTCTTTTTTTCTATCTACTTCAAAAAGGAGAAGATACTCAATTCGACTGTATGTTTTTTACGTGTGTTACCTCATAACTTTTTTCTGGGTGAATCGATTTCGATGACTCTTTTTTTATTTGAAAGCTGGTGCTTCTTATGTGGTCCCATATAAATTTAATCAAGGTCTGACCAATAGTTTTTGAGTTGTTCTTAATAATTTATATTGAAGTCGGTTGAACAAAAATTTTAATTTTAAATTATTTTTGGCATTTTACTATATTTAACATGATAAAAATGATGTAATATTTCAAAAATACAAAGGAGGCGCGTCACTTTTAAATTATACGATCTCTAACACATTATTAAATAATAATCTTATTACACTTTATTATAATTATGTTACTAAGCTTACTTTTCGTTAATTGAATAATCCTCTTCTTTGGCAATTTCAGCGCCGTCAGCCATTTTTCTCGTTGGCGTTACAGTCACATCTTCACCTTCACTCACATAACTGTAATTTAACAAAGAAACGTTGTTTCCTTTGCTGCTTTTTCCATAGGATTTAAAGTACTTTGGTAAATTTCTTAATACAATTGCTAAGTCTGATTGTGAGTAACATTTGCTCAATAACGAGACGAAGCCCATAAAAGGGGCATTTACTAAATAATTAATAATACATTTATTTTAAACACATAATTTCTTACCCTTCATGAAGAGAACTCTTTGAACTTTTAGAATTGGATCTACTTTTATGTTTGCCTGTACTTTGTGGTGTGTGCGTGGTGCTTCCCGGTTTTTCTTTTGAAGGGGTTCTAACCTCTCCCTCAAATGATGGTATCTAGGCAAACATACGATTGTAACAGATTTTTTTTTCATTTTAAATTAAAATGTGTTTATTCATTAAACACACAAAATAATACTTACCATCATTTTTAATTGTTCAGTTAGTTTTGTCGGGTCAAATTGAGTTTTAAAGGGTGGGTAAACAAATTTACCGTACTTTCTAGATATGTTACGTATATGTTGCTCAGCTTCCTGAAACAAATACAAAATAAACATAAAAATGCACCAAATGGGATTGAGAATTCCTATGATGTAAAGTTACTTCGCTGTTAGACTATGTTAATAGTTCAAGATCAACATTTGCGATTACGACACAATAAGAAGTCTCGTTAGACATATCTTAATATATAAAATCGGTTGATCCGTAGTTCGTTCAAGCTAATTTACCGATACTGCTCAATCGACTTTAATGAATTTTGTTAATGTGTATTGCTTGCTCCAATTTGAGAGATAGTTTTTATCCCGATAAGTGACCCTCAATATTTTTATTATGTATTTAAGGATTTTTTTATAGGACAAAGGGTCGTCGGAAAGGGCAGAACAACGTCTGCCGAGCTAGCTAGTAATGTTATAAATCTTATAATACTTCTAACAATTTTACACCTTTACTAGATGTTTTCTTTAAATGTTTATTAATTCATACTTTTTGTTGAAATTTTAAATATAAATTTAAATATTTCACTTTGAAAATTGATTTTACGATTTAGACTTATCAGCTTCATAGGGACAAAACAAACAATAATATGAGCGCTATTTCACATAAAGTGTACAAAACATAACAAATGTACAACAGAGATTTATACTGACTGTACTTTAAATAATTTTTATGAACCTGCATACCTGCATACTATCCAGTATATCTTGCCGCTTAGTTCTGAAGTTGTTTGGATCTTTTTCCGAGTAAAGGTAGCAATCCTTGGCCGGCACCCAGGCACGGTCGTGAGCGCCGAAGAATCGCACGTCCACAAGACCACTACTGTTTACTGACATTCCCTTGGCTGGCCAATGCGGAAAACCTGAAATATGAATGTAATACATATTACACGTGGTAGAGCCATGCTGCAACTATATTATGGTCGTAGCACGAATGGGTCGGCTCGACCCGAATAGGACCACATTACCATCGTAAAATAGCAGCTTAATGCTGCTGTGTTACGTATGGTGAATGTAGGGAAGCGGACACCCTTTTTACTGGAAACGAGGCATTTCATCTTAGTCCTCAGGGGTGACAAAGTATCAGCATTTTAATTCTTAATTGAGGATAAATGTTAATATCTATGGACTTCAGGATCCACTTAGCATCAAGTGGACTGTGTGCTCGTTTATCACTCATATCATATAAAAAAAATATTACCATTTTATTCATTTTTTGTTAAACATTACTAGTATTTTAAATCTGGTATGCGAGGTGATTACAACATTATCGAATCACTTAAAAAGAAAATTCGCCATAGCAATGATAGGAGGTACAGAAGTTGGCAAGAATATTGAGCGGTAAATAATTTTGGAGCACATTCAATGATTAAGTCAATTGTACACCGCACGTTTACTTATACTGTCGCCGCGTTCACAGCCCTACAAATAGACTTTTAATAAGAAGAACACTTCAAAGAACCAAAAATAATATAACAATTTAAAATATTAAAATAAATCAAGAGAAAAATTTTTCAACTGCTTTAGACTTTAAAGTAAAGAAAGTAAAGTTGCAGCCTATTTACGACCCACTACTGGGCACAGGCCTCCTCTCATTTCTGAGAGGGTTTTAGGGCAAGGAAATGTCCGCCGCGCTGCCCCAATGCGTGTTGGCGAGCTTCACATGTCTTTGAAATATATTTTTTTTCTTATTTCTCAGACATGCAGGTTTCCTCACGATGTTTTCCTTCACCGCCGAGCCCGTGGTACATCAGCACTTAAAATTGCAATTAACAATTTCATTGTACGTACTGGGAAGCTTACTGCGAGCGCTAACCATTTGAGCTACCACGGCTTTAGACTTTATAGATATATATTATACGTGGATACATCTATAGACAGATAGATATAACTGCTTCAGAATTCGGTGCTAAAGCACAGACTTTATTTTTTATTAAAAGTCTAGTTTTTTTACCCTTTTGCGTGAACTACAGGATATCATAAGCTCGAATGTGTTTAAATAGTTACATTAACAGGTGGCAAAATTACAAATTTTGTACAACAGACTTCAATATATATAAAATGAGAACATCACCAATGTAGTTGAAGTCAATTAAATACGCATTATTATGGATAACTCAAAAACTACTGGTCATATCTTGATCAAATTTATATAGAACCACATGAGAAGCACCAGCTTTCAAATAAAAAAAGAATCATCAAAATCGGTTCACCTAGGACTAAGTACTAGTTCTGAGGTACACATAAAATAAGTCGAACTGAGAACCTCCCCCTTTTTGAAGTCGGTTAAAAACTTCATCCCCTATTCCACCCCTAAATTGTGCTAGACATAGTATCAAAGCAAAAACTTACATTTTATTGAAAGTCTAGTTTTTTTACACTTTGAAGTGGACTAAAAGTAGATCATAAGCTGGCATGTGTCTCAATAATTACATTAAAAACTTTATCCCTTAATATCCTACTCCTCATACTCCGCATGCTCTGGTTATCGTGCATCCTTCCCTACCGCACATAATAATATATATAGTGTTCTCTGTCACGCTCTAGTTTAAAATAAATCGTGTCAATCATTAGTCTTGCCACGATTTGAAAAGTCAACCATATACCATTCGATTCGCAATAAAAAATATATTAAATAAAATATTTACACATGTAATTTTTTAAGAAAAAGAATGAGAGTTAATTACTATATCAGTTTACCTGTTTACACCTGATAGACAGGTATTGTTGCATGGAAAAGGTAGTCAACCATTCTGTGGCATTTTCTATATATATTATTTTTTCGACTGAGACCAATTTTATCAAGGAAAAGAATGACCGTAACTGGTAAAAAAATTTGTTAAACAATTTTTAATTAAAAACAGCCTTGCCAAAACATAGGCTGTCAATCACCCCGATTTGTATTTATTTATATATTTTATTATACAAAAAAAATTTCAAGGAAAAGAATGAGGGGGGGTATTTTTGTAAGCCGGATTTTAGACTATAAAAACTACTGTCAGCGTTCCTAGTCCGTGGTGTTAATTATTATACCTTTTTAATATACCTTTGAGTTTGGCCCAGAGCAGTATGTGTGGTGTTGTACAGACGTCCGTGAACCAAGTGGGTCGGCGAGCGTGCGCCGCGGCGTAGCACTCAGGGCACGCCTCTATTTCGCCCATCTCAGCACGACACGAACGCACCAATGCACGAGCGCCACCAGTTAACTTCGACTGCACTGTAATAATCGGCACATTTTTATAACATTAGTTATAATCGAGCTAAACGAATTGATTAATAGATTGATTAACTGGCTACTGCAGCCCATGGACACCTAAAAGAAACTTCAAACAAATAAGGTTTTTTTTAAAATAGAATAAGGGTGACAAACGAGCACAGAGTCCAGTTGATTGGTAAAGCCATAGACATCTACAATTCTCCTCAATTAAAAATCAAAATGCAGATGCGTTTTCACCCCTGAGGACTAATATGGAATGCCTCGTTTCCAAGGCTGAGGCTTTCAGAGGACTAAAATGAAATACAGCTTGTCCTCACAATTAGTAATGATACTGGCTCTCCATGGACTGAAAACAAAACATAACTGAGACTAACATGGCATCCCTAAGTTTTTAAAATAAATCGAAAATGTAATGTGGTAAATCTTTTATTTTTCATTCATTCATTACAGCCTATAAAAAGATCGTAGATTGCCCCCTACTTGCCATGCCTGGCCAGCAGTGTGTTGTCTGCTATCTAGTCTTATCGGTGTAGTGTGACACTGGCACGCATTTTAAGAAAACACGTCCACTCTCGCCCGAGGCTTATGAATTGTATGTATATGTATGTTTGTGTATCAGTGTATAGTAAATTATTAGTAAATAAAACAAAACATAATAAAGCGGGGATGTCCCCTATCATAACTAATCATGTATTTCTGGGCGGCAAAAAAGTAACCAGGAAGGCACTGTAAGTATTACTGGGTGCTCGAGTATTTCTGGGCAGTAAAAAAAAATTACCACGAGAGCCAGTGGCACGTGCCTAGGGGCGCAACGTAGTATGGTAGTACGAGGTAGACAATCCCATATAAATCGCACAGTATAGTACCGCCAGCCATCGAGACGATGAGGATGGAATTTCGAGTTCTGTTGCAGTGTAAGATGATGGAATTCAGCAAGCTGGAATTCATCATTATCACTATCATTACAGCCCTTCACAAGTCCACAGAACATAGGCCTCCCCCAAGGAACGCCACAAGGCACGGCCGCGAGCCATCTGCATCCATTGACTTCCTGCATGTCTTACCAGGTCGTCACTCCATCTAGTGGGGGAACGCCCTACACTTCGCCTGCTGGTACGAGGCTGCCACTCGAGAACCTTCCTTCCCCATCGGTTGTCGGTTCTTCGAGCTATATGGCCAGCCCATTGCCACTTCAGCTTACTAATCCGTTGGGCTATGTCGGTTACTCTAATTCTACTGCGCATGTCTTAGTTTTTCAGTCTATCACGCAGGGAAACCCCGAGCATAGCCCTCTCCATAGCTCGCTGAGCGATTTTGAGGTTCCTCATACGGCCAGCAGTGAAGGACCATGTCTCAGATCCATAGGTCATCACTGGCAACACACACTGGTTGTACAATCTAGTTTTTAGGTTTTGAGGTATGCCTGATGAGAAGATGTGTCGTAATCTTCCGAACGCTGCCCAGCCGAGTAGTATCCGTCGATTGACCTCTAGGTCGAAGTTGGACTTACCTATTCGGACTATTTGTCCAAGGTAAACATAGTCGTCAACAACTTCGAGATTAGTGCTCCCAACAACTACCGGCATAGATGTTACATAGACATGGGCGTTACACATGGCCTTTGTTTTGTCCATGTTCATTTTAAGACCTATTCATTGGGAGACACTATTGAGGTCTTTGAGCATAGTGCTTAGGTCCTCCAGCGATTCCATCTGGAATTAATCCGAACAATTCTTCCGAGCACTCTCCGTGGTATATGCGATTAAAGATGCATAAGTGCAAACGTCTCTTCGCAAGGCCAGTGGATCAAGTCAATCCATAAGAAGGAAGCTTTGAAAGAAGCACTTTGTGCCAAGTACTATCGAAGGCCTTCGCTGTATCCAAATTAACCTCCAGGGGCCATCCACTTGGTCTCGACTATCTCCGCCCATCGGTGAGTCAGTTAGACAAGAAGATCACCAGCTGAACGACCTCGACGGGAACTAATAATGGATTCCATTATTTCGGAGAAAGTGAGGCAATGGCGACAGGCCTGTAGTTGGACAGGTCCAAGAGGTCACCTTGTAGGTATCAGGTGCACTAAGGAACTTGGGCTTGGAACGAACCTAAAAAGTAGAAATCCTAACAAGAAGAGAGAACCTGAAAAGAAAAGTACTGGTGCTAACACAGGAGCGCACGTCTTCAACACAATTGGGGGGATATCATCAGGCCCGCTCCACTTATACTGTCCAGGGACAGTAGTGCTTTACACACTGAGCACTGTGTGAATCGAACATCCTGCGAATATTCAGACTGGGGTCAGCGGTAGATTCCCCATGTCGTCGATTCGGACGAGAGAAGAGAAGAGAAGAGAACCTAAAAGATCGACTTTCTCCTCTGCGGCGTGGGCTAGCGAGTCATTCTCCCTGTGCAGAAATGGTAATGATTGCTAACAGAAATTTCTTTGGGCAGCCTTGGCGAGAGAACAGAAAGCACGAGTTCCCGAAGGAAGATACTCGCGAAGGAATTAGTGTCTCGCCAATTCTCTCAATGCTCCGACTTTGCCCTAGCGATTAACTCTTTAGAAGGACCTGGAGGCAACAAGGACCTGGAGGTAGATTTGTACTTCTTTTTGAATGCTAGTGTTTGCATCCCGGGACGCAGATGGGTCGGACCTTGTAACACTCCTGCTTTTCCTGTTTTACCCATTTATACGTTATAATAGTTTTTTTTTATTATTTTCTAGGAAACAGTGCATTACCTTTTAACGCGAGTGGTATTGTTATAATCGGAGACCAAACCTCTACCAATTACACCACTTTACTCCCCCAAACTGCCAAGCGATTGTAAATCTAACCATTGACTTTCATTCCCAAAATGCCGCTCCCTTAAATTTGCCGTTGGGAACAATGCCCCTCCGCCCTTGGTACATCACTGGTGGCAGCAACACGTGAGTAGACGATTTTTAGATAAATTACCTCCGGGACAGAAAAGAGCAGAAAAATGTAATGCCATGTGGTGACAGCGTAAGATAATGTGTCAATGCCATAATAATCTTGCGGCTTCCGTTAGATTACGGTATACCATCTCATTAACGCCAAACCACCGTATGGAGGCCGTGTACGAATATCTGCTACCCCATATTATCCCGTGGATGTCTTTAGAGGCAACAGAAGGTAACAATCCAAGAGATGGGCAAGAGCGTCTTTATAATAACAACTAAAAATTAAAAAAGACTACAACTGGAAACCCACCTCTGCCAAGCGTGGCAACTATGGAAAATATCCTTCTATTGGACAGATTATGGGGAACACAACAGCTGCATTCATACAGGTTCATAATATATTATACTTACATGTGTTGAATATTATGCTATTATGTAATATCCATTGCGCATCGCCAAGAAAGGCCTCGGTGCTCCCGTAAAGACCCTCGTTTATGTTGTTCTTCATTAGCGATAAATCCATCGGGTGCACTACATATTTATCATAATCCGGAAACGCTGTACGGTCCACGGGTTGCATGAATGGCTCCACCTATAATATTAAGGAGACGGTGCAGTACTTTTTAATTTTTTTTGAACATTGTTTATAGTTAATAAACATACGGACATACGATGTGTGAAGATAAATGAGAATCATAATAATTTAAATAAAATCATAAAGACGACTCTAAATCCATTTAAATGTGTACCTTGCAAAGATTCCATGATGACACCGGAATATTATTTTCGATAACACATTTTATAAATTAGTTTTTATTTTTATCTTATTAGAAATATAAACAAAATCGTACAGATCAATCGCTCGCCCGCCTCGACTACACATCTTCCAGGGTGGAATTAGTTTCCGCCGCGACAAGTGCAAGTAAGTGAGGTAACATTTTCATACCTACACACTGTGCTACAAGATGGCCTTGAGGCTGGATTTAGTGCTCGACCGACGGTGAGCACTGACATCGGTTACAGTGCAGCGCTGATGAAGTACTACGCGCGTACGGCTACGTCGCGCGTACGAGGTCCGTCGGTCGAGCTCGTCGGTCCGACGTACGTCGCGTCGGTTGACTGACGCGCTATGGCGGTACATGCGTGCGTTCAGTGCGACACTGACACAACGACCGACTGTACACGCGTACGCATTATCGCGCACAATAATGAATATTGCTACATGAACATTGTTCTCGCAATTCCGAATACAATGAACAAAATTCTCCTTCAATTAAACTGTCTACAATTATTGGGTGCACATGATATCTTCTCCGTCTATTATGCCGTAATCGTTTGCGTAAATAGTACGCACATATTATAGAGTTAACAAATTCATTTTTCTTCGTAATTGTACGCGTCTTACAAAGCTTACCGTCAGTTAAGCACTAAACGCTTGGCCCCGACCGACGATCAGGACGTACCGTCGGTGCGTACGGTACGTGCTGACCGTCGGTCGAGCACTAAATCCAGCCTAAGAGTTCATGGTTTAGTGGTTATTTTTAATTAATTGAACAGGCAGGATACACGAGGCAGGATATAGACTGCCCAAATACACCAGGCTGAGTATGCTGGTTGTTTAACGATGTACTTATAATGGTCCTCCTTATCGAATATAAGAAAAAATCGGGGAATTGTCTAACCTCGTTAATTATAATTTTATTTTTAAATTAGTCCGATAATAATCCTTTCTTGCAGTTAAAATAATTGGTGGATGTCTACAGTACCCATGGTTTTGCAAATTTGACATTGACACTGCTGTCTTTAAGGTATAGCATATTATTTATGATGGACATTCCACCATCTGTTAGACGACGTAAGATATTGAAATTTTTCTCCTTCGAATCGTAGGGAACTCACGAGAGGACCTGAGGTATTGGAATTTACGCTAGCAGCACCCGACCGTTATATTAAGATATTACGCAACATGTTGTATACAGTAGTAGTAGTATTATTTACAACATACAAATTAAAAATTGATCTGTGTCTAGTTTTTTGTATTTTATAAATATTTTTCTGTTTATTATTTGCATTCTTGAAAAAATTTGATTCTTATAATTTCTGTTTGCATATTTGCTGGGTTTGTCTTAAAAACTCCTAAAACTTAAGTAATTATTCTAACAGATAGCAATACATAGATAATATATTGGTATAAAAATCCTTGAACTTGAGTGTGCATTAATGACACAGCACTTGTATTATTTGTATTATTACAAAAATGTATATTGCATGTATTACAAAATGTTCTGCGGGTAGTTACGTTTTATTTCTCATTTATTTCTGATTGAAGTATAAACGGTAGATGTTTAAATTATTGTTTTTATTTTAAAGTGGCTGCTATTATATTAAAATAGAAAACTCTGATTGGTAGCCTGCCTGCCAAGCGTAGCAGCTATGGCAAATATCTTACAATCTATGAAGGAGGCCCATGGTCAGTATTTACATTACATTGTGTTCACAAAACGCTGAATAATTTCCACATAAATAATGTTCATTAAAATTACTTGCCTGTCTCTATACGAATAATTCGTTCGTTACTTACATAGTTCGTTTCGTTATATTGAATACTTACTTATCGAAAGTATTGAATGACAAAAATAAATTTATCATTTAGACAGACAGATACCTCACCCTATTTTGTTTTATGATTTCAAGCAGATTGAGGATAGAATGAGATCATATTTATCAGTGTAATATAATAAGAAACTACTGTGATTTTTATATAACTTGTAATTCAGGGGCAGAGCGTTCTCCTAAAACTTATAACACGGGTGAACCTATTATTAAATTTCTATTATCAATCTGAAGTGATGATTTACAACTTGCTTACCGTCGGTAAAGGATCACTTATGGAAAACCTGCGAGAGTGAGACGAGTTCTGTGCCCACAAGTGGAATGTGTGTTGGCTATTACTTTAATACGTAGATGCACAGACCGCGGCCCACGGGCCGCATGCGGCCCGCCAGTCGAATACTGGTGGCCCGCCGACAGCAAAAATAATACTCTCGTACATTCGGAAAATATTGAATTATATTCCAGAATAAAACCAAAAAAAATATGTTCGAAAAGTAATTTGAATCTAGCGCGCGCGCTCTTAAGTGCGCTTATCGGTGCGCCGTGCATGCGTCGGTAACAGCGGTCGGTAATGTTCGTGCTGATCTCGGTTAAATTCATTTTCTTGAGGAACCGCCGCGGCCGGCGGCGCGTCGACGACGGCAGCGCGGTGGCGGCTTATCCACGGGTTATATTGTTAGAGCAAGCGAGATAGCAATAGTCCCGAATTCCCGATTGCCCGCGTAGGTAGATACACGAAGCTTCTAGAGTCGGTTTCGTGATTTCTCCAGACAGTTTTCGACTCTATACGCGCGGTATAAAAGCCACGCTAACCGCAGCGACCGACAGTTCGGTTTTAATTTGAGTGAAGTGTCAATAGTTCTAGTGTAGATTTTAACTCGACTAGCCGGTGTCATATATTTTGATCCACATTCAACGTATATTTCCCGTCAAGTGCCGTGCATAATTATGTTGTGAAATCGTAAGTAAAACTCTGTTGTTAATAAGTGTTTCCCTACCTATTTAATCAATTATTTTTGGTAATTTAAAAAAGGATGGGTAATTTAAGTAGGTACTGTAATTGTTTTAGGTGCTGTGTTAATCCTAGCCAGGATTAGAACGCAACATGGACAAGCCAGGACCTAGTAAAAAACGTAAGGTTAAAGATGAAAATCGGCAGTTTCAAGAAATTTGGACTGAGAAATACTTTTTTGTATGGTCGCATAACAAAGTCGTTTGTTTAATTTGCAAGAATTCTGATGCGATTGCAAAGGAATATAATGTAAAAAGGCACTATGAAACGCAGCATCCTACTTTTACCAAGTTTACAGGCGAATTAAGAAAGCAAAAAATGTTGTCTTTAAAACGGGAGCTTATTGGTCAGCAAGCTATGTTTACAAAACCCATTCAAGATTCAGAAACAGCTACAGAAGTTAGTTATGAAATTTCTCGAATGATAGCAAAGTGAAGTCGCCCCTTCAATGATGGGGATTTTGTAAAAGAATGCATAGAAATTGCCGCTAAGAAAATGTGTCCAGAAGCAGCAAAAAAGTTTGAGAAAATTCAACTGAATCGTATGACTATCCAAAGACGAATTATGTCTTTGTCAGGTAATATTGCGGAACAATTAAATTAAAAAACTAAGATCATTGAATTTTTTTCATTAGCACTCGACGAATCCACTGATTAGTTCCACAGCTCAACTTCTGATATTCATACGAGGTGTTACTCAAGATTTTGAAGTCTTAGAAGAGTTATTAGGAATGTGTTCATTGAAAGGTCAAACCAGAGGAGTTGATATACTCAATGTACTTTTGGATGAGTGTTCAAAAACTGATTTGGACTTATCAACATTATAGGGAGTTGCCACTGACGGTGCTCCTTCGATGATTGGTGTCAATTCTGGCCTAGTTACTTTGCTGAAAAAGTATCTGCAAGAAAAAAACATAAACGCTGAAGATCTCATGCAGTTTCACTGCATTATACACCAAGAAGCCCTCTGTTCTAAAAAAATTGAATTTCAAAATGTCATGAAAGTGGTAGTTTCGACTGTAAATTTCATGAAATCACGAGGACTCAATCACAGGCATTTCAAACAATTCCTTGATGACATCGAAAGCGAATATGGAGATTTACTGTATTATACAGAAGTAAGGTGGCTAAGTCGTGGATTGACACTGGAACGATTTCTAAATTTAATAGAAGAAATTGGAATATTTCTGGCGGAAAAGCAAAGGGATGTCCCGGAACTTAAAAATCCTGATTGGTTGTGTGATTTTGTTTTTTTAATTGATATTACAAATCATTTGAATGTCTTAAACACACGGCTTAAAGGCAAAAATCAACTCATATCCCAGCTCTACGCTCATGTATCATCCTTTCAATGCAAGCTGACACTTTTCAGATCGCAATTGAATTCTGGAAATTACAATCATTTTCTGAATTATAAGAAAATGGCTGAAAAATTCAACAAAACTGCGATTAATTTCAGTTATGTAGAAAAGCTAGATATTTTGATTCAATCTTTTCAAGACAGATTTTCGGAGTTTAAAAAAGTGAAACCTCTGTTGGACATTTTCAACAATCCTTTCACGATTTCAGTTGAAAATGCGCCAGAGTCAATGCAGTTAGAAATTGTCGACATTCAAAACGACCAAGATTTACGCAACAAATTCAACGAAGGAGACTTGCTGAACTTTTACCGCTAAAAATACGTACAAAGAGTTGCGCATAAACGCTCTGAAATGTGCCAGCTTATTTGGTTCTACCTATATATGTGAACAAACCTTTTCAATGCTAAATAATAATAAAACAAAAAATGGAAACCGCCTTGCAAATGAAAGTTTGGAAGCAGTTTTACGTGCTGCTACAAGTAAATTTGAGCCAAATATAAAAAAGATTGTAAGCACTATGCAGTGCCACGCTTCAAATTAATAAATTCTTTTTCAATTTTAATACATTATTATCAATTCTTTATTGTCTTTAATTACCTATACTTCT